ACATGATTGCTCTTCACTTATAGGTTCCTCTGAAACGTAGGAACACATCTCACTTATTTTCATGCTTCAGTCCCATTTCATCATAAACTTTGAAAATAACACAGATATTTTGGTTTAAAATATTGGTGCCTGGTATTGCTAGAAAGGTTCTTTTACTTCAAGAAAAAGATTTGAGATTATGCAAGTGATGAAATAGGTTTTGTTTGTCTTATTTCCTTTCTGTTCTTCCCAGCCCTTTCATTAGCTCAGGCTGCTGACCTGACTAGCGTGCGTAGTTATCCATTCTTCATCAATGGATGCCAGTTTTGAAGAACTGATGTTGTCTTCCTTCTGCTCTTCCTTTGGAGGCGTTCGAACAGCCCGAATTACGTAGTCTCTGTGTGGGGAGCACTTCCAGAAACATCAATATAAGCACAGATACTATGGGGCTGACACTGAGTTCAAGAATATACCATATTGCATAGTAACTCTAAGGGCTGCTTTAAAGTAGGATCTTGTTAAATTCTGTAGTAATCTGCTACAACAATTCCTTCACTTATTTTTTTCTGCCTTTGTCTTAATGCCTTATTTAGAGGTAAGTTTTACCTTTAAAATTTTCTTTCCTGCATATCATATCTTTCACAAAATGATTTTAAAAGGCTTAATAGTTCACACTGCAAATGTGGAAGTCCCTTCTGGTCATACTACCATCTTCCTGGATTATACAAGCTCAAAATAGACTTATTTGAGATGATGAAGAGGTTTTCCCCCTTAACACCGACAAATGGAATGGACTTCAGATATCACACACTTACTTGCCCTATTAGCAGTCCGGTGACGTAAGGGTTTAATTTTATACTGAGGTCTGAAAGGTACTGCCCAATAGTTTCCTCAACAAAGTAGGTTCTGCCCATTGCTGCAGGTTTAAGTCTTAGTGTTGTGGTCTCAACCTATAAAACAAACAATGTATAAAGTCAAAGAAAGTGTACATCCTGTAGGAGTTGCATGAAAATAAGTCTCACACAAAGACGCTGGCTAGATTAACACTCCATCTGCCAAAAAAGGTTATTTAAGAAGCTTGGGGTTTTTTTGTTAAACTAAAACCAGAACTCTATGCTAGAAGAAAAAGTGTGCGACCCTTACCTGGAAGAAAATTATTTTAAATATCTGCCCCTGAAAAGACATAGCAAATCATGCAAGCAAATGCTAGGAAAATCCATATCTCTGAGCAACATTTCTGGCCATATCATGTTTCACCAGAGACCAGAAAGCAAGGTATGTATTTCTGCCTTTGCATTCCTCTTTGAGGAATCTGCTACATTTCACACTTGGATTCAAAACATGCAATGCACAATTTTCATTCTAACCCCCAAAAGCATTAAAGCACAGCGTCGAAAGGCCACCGCCGCAGCTC